CGGAGATGTCACTGGATGAAGCTCTACAGCAGTAAATTCTTAAAGATATGCAATTTTGCTTTAAGATATTTTTCCCTTTCAGAAGCTGAATGTTGGGAATCTCAGAGCTAAAGAATAAATTCCTATGTGATCTAGCTTAGCCTGTCCCTTAATATTTTCCATTTAATATCACAGAAATGTCAAGAGAGAAAATGGATCTCTTCTCTAGTATATCCTCTGCCTTCTCTTGAGGAATAAGATCTTCCACCTTCTATTGCAGAAATTCTTGCATGAAGGACTTTCTGGAAAATGTGATTTCCAATGAAAAGTGACTAACCCATATGATGCCTACTGCTGATCTCAGTTCATGGGAAGAGATGACATGTTAAAGAGTACACACTGCACAGGACAAATCCAGCCTTGTGCAGAACTTTGGGGCATGGTAAGAAGTGCTCAAAGTGACCAAGCATGAAGGAGCATTTATCCAGTCAATGGACTTCACTGCATCTTAGAAAGAAAAAGGAAGTGTCTGATGAGGGGAACTCTATCCTGAGCTTACAGAGCTGTTTGCCTCACACCTGTGATTTCCACCATTCATAGTGATGTTTTTGGAGTCAGACTTTGTGTATATTTTTGCTTCAAGCTACATCTTCATGTAAGACAGTTGTCTTGAAAATTAAATGCTTATATTAGAGTCTAACTTCCCAGTGTGTCATCCGATTAGGCAATGACTCTTCTGAAAATGAGCACTATGTCATATTCAGCCATTATTGTTTTCTTAGCCCTAAGGCGAGGGCATAGTGCAACAAAGAAACTGTATTTATTGAGTACATGAAGAAATGAACATCTGGATAAGTGTATGAATTATTTTTAGCTAATTACAAAATTTTTAGAGATTATCATAATACTGAATTTCCCATTATCTTCATGTCCATTCCATACTTAGTACTTACGTGTAAGATCCTAAAAATACATAGCAGTTTTATATGATTCATAATTGTCATCATTTTTCCTTTTTCTTATTCACTTGGAAGATTCTAATACATTCCTCTTCATTGCTTAGTAGTATTTTATGGTCTAAATATAACATTTTATTTATTCAGTAGTTCTCCAGCATCAGTTTCACTGCTTTCACTTACTCAAGGTCAATGGCAGTCTGAAAATATTAAAGAAAATCTCCAGATATAAACAATTTGTAACTTTTAAATTGCACAGAGTTTTGCATGGCTTGTTGAAATATTGTGCTATCCCACTCTGTCCTACACAGGATGTGAATTATCCCATTTTCCAGAGTGCTTATGTTGTATACACTGTCTACCTATGAGTCACTTAATTGTCATCTTAATTATTATCAGATTAACTATCATGGTATCAAAGTACTTACGTGCAAGCAACATTTATTTATTTACTAATGGTCCAAAACATTAGTGACATTAGAAATCATATTACAGCTTATTATTATGATTTATGATTTTTTAATTTTGATATTGTTTCTAGCCTCTTCCTGTATGTAAGTTATAAATTAACCTTTGTTGTAGGTATGTTTATATTGACAAATATACTATAGAGTGTTCGGTGGTATCCATGGTTTCAGACATCCACTGAACATGTTGGAATTAATTTCCATGACAGAAAAGGAAGATGGCTCTTCATTCTTACATGATAGAAATTTAGAAATTTAGATTTTTGTCCTCCAGGTATTTTTATAGTACTAACAAAATTTTGCCATATATATGTATGGCAACCATGGTCTTGCACATGTGTAAGACTGTACAATAAAGTAGGATTTTTTAGAGTGGACTTAGGGTTGCTCTACCATACAGTGTACAAACATTCAACTTTACTAGGATTTGCCAGAGAGTGCTTCAAACCAAAATCATGGTTTAATTTATACTCCTGCACAAGCACAGTTTGTAAAACTGCACTCTTCCAACACTGAGTCAGTCTTTTGGATGAGACAGAAGAAGACTCTCTCTGCACAGGGACTATTCTCCAAACTCTGGAAGAACTTTATATCTCTTCAGTGCAGCAAGACTGCATCCACAATGGTCAGAAAGAATTCTCCTTTAGTTGACAGCTTAAAGTTACCCTGGTGTCCCATGTCTATCCATCTGCTTGCCTTCTTTCTAATCAATGATTGGCAACCTCTTCCTTGTAAACACACATCTGTCTTGGGAGAAGATGGTCCTTCCTGTTCCCGCTCCCTCTGTGTACTCAGCATTGAAGGACAATCGAAGGACATTGGCCACTGGTATCTGTGGTTAGCTTACTAAATACCTTAATGTCTCAGAATAATGTTTAATAAAGAAACAAAGCTCTGTGGTGATCAAGCCACATTTCAAACTGAATCGTACATTAATTAAACATTAAACATTTACTGCCCCAAATACCCCCTACCATGTAGAGCTCTGGTTTCCACTGACATATCTCGCTCTTCCAACAGTTAATTTTTACCTAAGTGTTACCAGTATCTCAAAAAGAGGATAGTATGAAGTTTTAATTCTTTTGTATTCTGCCCATTTACTTGTTTCCTAACGGCCTTTATTTACAACTTCTTTAAAAAATAAATGAGACATGGCATTTTGTTGCTGCTTAATATGCTCTAAAGCAAATGATTTTGTTGAAAAAGTATGCATATAGGAAATTGAACAATTCATAAGTGTACAGTTCAATGAATGTTTTTACCAAGTGCTGTGCTTTCTTATTAGAGCATCAATGAACACATCAATGAACAGAGCACTTATCCTCCACACCACTGGAGGCTACGGTTCTCTGCTTGAGACACTCTCCAACCCTAAACACCTACCTGTGTAGCAGTGTGACATCTATTTCCCTGGGTTATAAATATACACAGTGCATCAAAAAACCCTTTTACCTATAGGATCAGTAAAACCTAGAAATACCTCATTCAAGTTTTTTCGAAAAGTACAAGGTGAGCTGCATTTCTGCATGCACCTCAGGAGCAGCGGGGAGACAGCTGTAAACAAGCACGCAGCAGAAAGATGGCAGAATAGGAAGCATGACCAACCTCTCTCCCCATCTTCACAATAATTACTCAGGTGGAATCTGCTGAAAAACTAGAGTTGGTTTAATGCTTGTAACTTCCAGGGGAAAGCTTGTGTGATAAATTGCTTTTAATTCCAGTCAATTTGAGCTCACACCACAGTAGAAGCTACTTCTCCACCCCTTCAGCCTGGAATTCAAACACAACCAATGGAAACCAGAGTGGGCAACAAGGAACCCTGCCTCCCATTCTCAATTCTCAGGGACATGTGCTCAGATCCCTGCTGTCTCTGACTACATATGGGGATGTGAAGAAGTGGAGACTGCTGTCGTTGTGCCCTTGTTTACTCTGCTGTAAGTCTCCACTCTCTGGTTGAAGTAACATTTAGGAGATTTATAAGATTGATGGTTTCTCCCCACTTCAGCTTTAAATTTTGCTCCTTTCAGGAGCCAGGTTTGGAAGACTAGGACTAAAGTGTAACTTTGCATATGAGTAGAATTAGAAAGTCACCACCAGTGCCCAGGGAAAAGCCACAGCTCAGTCAGACCTTATGTTTACTCTGAGCCAGAGCTGAGGCCAAGCTGAACAAGTTGGATGGCCAGGGCCACGGCCAATGTCACAGTCATCCAAGGCCACTGTCAGGACCAGTGGAAGGTGATGGTTGGGGGACCCATGGCGATGTAAGCTATTCTGTGACTCTTAGTAGTATATGTGGAAAAGCACCACTTTGTTGGTGTAGGAATTGTACAATTTTAGCATTTAATTTTCCTATGTTGTATTTTGATACAAGTAATATACTATTAAATAGTGGTTTATACATAAAATTGGTATTTTTTTTCTATAGGACGTTATTGTAGTTCTACTGGTTTTGTAAAATAGATTTAAAGGCTGCATTGGCCAGGTGTGGTGGTGCATGCCTGTAATCCCATCACTTGGAAGGCTGAGGCAGGAGAATCACCATGAGTTTGAGGCTGGGCTGGGGTACACAATGAGTTCAAGACCAACCTGAACTACACAGGGAGACCCTGTCTCCAGAAAAACAAACAAACAAAAACTTACATTTCATTCTATGATCTTTTAAAAAAATTATTGATATGTTTGTGATATATAGTGATTATATTCAGCTAAATCATGCAGTATAATAATGCTGTACTTTTTTTTGATCTGGTGCTAGAGATAGACATCACTTATTGTGTCTAGCTTCCAAGCATGTACTTCCATTTGGTGAACTATTACAGATCTAAAGGAAAATTAAAATGAAATACCCTGGGATACATAACAAAGTAAACATTTTGTTGAGGAAACATGGAAATTAGTAAGTGTTGGCAATGATGTGGAGAAATTAGAACCCTGTGCACTGTCGGTTGAAACGTAAAATGATGCAGCTGCTATAGGAAGTAATAGGGCCATTCCTAAAAAAGGAAAACAGAATGCTGCTTCTGGATCTATACCTAAAATAATTAACAGTAGGATCCCAAAGAGGTATTTGTATATCCATGCTCATACCAGCATTGTCACAATAATTAAAGCAAGGACATCTCCTAAGAACCAAATAACAGCTTAATGGATCAGCAGACTGTGCTATGTAGATTCAGTGGCCAGCATTTGGGAGAGGGACCTCAAATTCTATTCACCCCAATCAATATGGCTAGATTTGTGTCAGAGAGGTCATGATTAATATTATACCCTGCATTCTCTCAGCCCAATTCCATTTCTCCACAAGCCATAAAGAAAATTTCACTGCAAATTAAATAAAGTAATTCATTTCCTAGACAAATATCAGACTTTCAACCTTCTAAGTAGGTGATTTTTAATAAAGTAATTGTGAAATTAGAAATACATTTTTCATGACTCCGTAATTATTTTACTTAGAATATGTAAAAATGGATTCTTAAAGAGGAAAAATTTTAAAAGATTATTGAGCTTTACTATATCAAATAAAAGTTTCAATTTTTATTAGCAAAGAATAAAAAGACTAATTAGAATTGGTTTTATGGGTCTATGTGCTCATTTTCAGTAAGAACACATAATGAATTTGGAAGGAACATTGGATCTGGATGAATTCTCAGAAACACATATATGCAGCAGAGTTATGATTGGGCTGAGTGAAAGGTAAGGCCTTCCCTTTCTACTTCCCCTCCTCCGCCACATTACTCCCAGTATTTGATTTGTATGAAGGCTTCTCCTGAACTTCTCCTCTTTCAAATCCCTTGGTCACCTGGACTGGAGTAGTTTGCTAGCTAATCTCCTCCTCCCAGTCCATACCTTCTAATTCTTCTTCACAGTACAAAGATTAACTTTTCCCACATCTGTCCACAGCAGGAGGTCTCTTCTGTCCAAACCTCCCAACGACTTTCCTTATTCTTAGAATACAAGTAGGGATCATTAACACAGTCTTTAAATATTGCTTGATTGTCCCTTACCACACTCTACAACCTCTTCTCACAGGGAACATTCAATGGAGCCCCAGTGAAGCTGCCTCCAATGGTGCTGCCTCACCCTCTCTCTTTATTACTCAGAGGTTTTCTGGGGAATCCAGTTGTTACGGTTTGGGTCTAGATGTCCAGCCGAAGCTTCCTGTGGTCATAGGCTGGATCTAGAGTGTGTGAAGCTGGAACTGATTCATGATGCAGTGCTAGGCTCAAGGACACTAGGATTAAGGGTGTGAGTGCTGCCCTCCCTAAGTAGTCAGAGTAAGATAAAAGAGGCAGGGAGATGACGTTAAACTCCCTCCTACCTTTGCTACCTTCTGCACCGCCAGTTGTTTCTCCTCTGTGATGCTTCTTTGCCATCCCAGCCTCAGAGCCAGCCAATTATGGACTGAAACCTCTATGAACTGTAAGCCAAATAAACCCCTTCCCTTTTAACTTTGGGTGCCAGGTATTTTGTCTCAACAATGAGAGAAAAGTAACTAACACACCAGTCATGCAACATGATGTTTTGCTATATATATAAATTGTGAAATCAAGCTAATTGCCAACAATCAAACTAATTAGCATTTGCATCAACATGTATGTTAAGCTTTTTTGTGATAAGAATACTTACAATCTGCTCTTGTCCAATTTCAATTGTATGATATATTTTTATTCCATACAGTCACTTGATACCCTGTTCTAGATAGGAAGAAATTAAGGTACAGAAGGAAGTTTTTACTTATCTACTACATGTCAGTATCTCAGACTAGGCCTAAATTTAGCTCCAAACAAAAGGAAAAAGGGAGCAGACCTCCTGAGGATTGAATGGGGGAACTGGCCAGGAAGGAAGCGTGCAGAGTAATTAACGGACACACCAGTCACTTGAGTACCTGATAGCTTAGATATATTACAGTAATTTGAGTCTTCTGTGAAGCAGATGTCAGCATGGAGTTGACATGCACAAAAGAGTTGATGAAAGAGATACCTGTGAAAAATAAGAGGTGAACGAAGAAGAATATATGAGAAGAACCATCGGATCATGACGAAGGTCAGAAACTTCTGACAGGAGAGAAAGAAGGAAGGAGGACTAGATATGAAGAGCTTCCAACTTTCATATTGTTCTGAGAAAGTCTCCACCTAGCCAAGCTCCTTTGATGACAAAGTATGTGACTAAAACTAACGTTGTCTGAGACTACCTGGCCATGGCTTGAAATTTGACTAAGAGTTTTAGGGTTACTCAGAAAAGAGCTAAACTGTCCATACCTTAGCACATACACTCCCTCCCCTCTGACCTGGATTCCAGTCCAGAAAATGACAGGGAAAGGCTCTCAGGATAGCCCTCTCTCTCTCTCTCTCTCTTATATATATATATAGAGAGAGAGAGAGAGCGCTATATCTATATATATCTCTCGATATATATATATCTTTCAGGATATATCTCTCAGGGTATGTGTGTATATATATATATGAGAAAGTTGATCATCCAAGGTTCACTGCTTGGGATGTATGAAATTTAGATATTACTGAGTGACACCAGACATTAGAATTTCCTGTGAACTTATTCAATCTTCATCTTCTTGGAGACCCAACTCCAAAAGGATAAATCATAAACAATTCCCATCAGGCTATGGATATAACTTTAATATTTCACATTTACTTCTCACATTTTGTGCTTTAATAAAAATGTATGCCTATACCCCAAGTACAGTGAAGACTAATTAAACACTTACATGAAGCACTTCAAGACTTTGAAGTACTACAGAGGCAAACACAATATACTCACCACAAATAAACCTGGAAAATTAACTAAGTTCTCCCTTTGTATCTCTCTTAGATAGGAGATGCTGCCAGTTCTGTAGTGTTCATAAGAAAGTCATTAATATGAGCAAACAAATATTACACTTTTTAATATTAAAATTAAAACCATCCTATAACAAAAATGTAAGTTCTTAGATGACAATTTGATGTTATCATCCAATGTTGAAATTGGCTTCTATATGTCAAAGTAACACAATTAGATTCAAAAATGTAATTTTTTTAACCCTTAAAATCAAGCTATGTAAAGTCAAGATGGACACAGTTCTCTTTATTACTAGATTTATTTTGTTATCTACTCATTGTCTTGAAGTCTGGAAGGCCTCCTTTACCACTATCCAAAAAGCAATGTTAGTGTTGAGATGAACAGGGAATTTATAATAGAAATTAAGATGCTGTGGATATTTATAAACTAAAATCAAACATATTATATATTTCATATATGTCATATTTTATAACTCAAATCAAACATTCTACAGCTTTGACACTGAATTTTCAAAATGTATTTGAAAACTACTGTCAGCAGTGACAATGCTAATATGACTCAGTTTCTGTAAGCTTCAGTCTCCTTGTCTATAAAATAAGAACCAAAACATACATCTTTGTTTTATGTTTCAGATGGGAAAACAAGTACTGGACATGGACTTAAAAGAAAGCATTCTGTAACTGTAGAGTTTTCATAGGAGACCGGTTTCATGTTATTGCTACAAAAGGGTGGCTCTACCTTGGAAAGTCTGGGTACAAATTCACAATAAGATACTTATTATGTGACAATAGAAAATTATTTCATACCATAAACTCCAATTTCCTCAAAATGGTATAATGATAATTTTTTTCACATTGTTAAGAAAATTAAACCTGATAGTATGAGTTTTGAAAAGCACCCTAGTTGTGTGCCGCACACACACCAATGCTTTAGTAAATGTCAGCATAAGCTTGAAGGCTATAGACTTTAAAAAATGAAACCTGTAAGCTAAATTATCATAAACCAGAGCAGATAATTGGTGGAAAAGAAATTCCTTTCTTCTAATCTAATCTAAATGCCTTTCTTCTGATCTTCATTCCCACCCACAGAATATTTCTGATAGCACTGTTGACATTCTGACCCCTAAATTCCAGTCTCCTTAACAAGCAATTGCATTGTTCTCTCTGGAGCCAGACTTTGAGGTTGAAGCAATTACACAAAACTTTCAGGAAGGAACAGCTATCTGGTTATGGCATCTCATGCATCTACTGGATTTGGCATTTTTTAAATATAAAAGTTTCTAAATTATTAATTTTCCCTAAAGTAAAACTTGATGGGGAAAGTAATATCTACATGAAGTATTAAGAGATTTTCATACAAAAAAGTCAAGTAATTTGACAGAGCATAATGATTACACTGTCAAAGAATACAAGTTTCCATTTTCTTGGATAAATCTATATTGCATGGCTACTGTTTCACAGGCTGTCATCAAGATAGCCAGATTTATTTCTCCTTTAATTGGATCATGAAGCCAACTTATGGAAAATGTATATGTATTGCCCACATTTTAGGATGCAGAAACCACGGCATTACTGACATACTCACTTGTTCACAGCTAGGAGATTTAATGAAAGGCTCATTGTGCCCTTCAGATGAGACAATATACATAAGCATGATGATCTATTAGTAGTAGGACAATAAAAAGTACCAATTTCCCAAAAAGTTATTTCCTGAATTGAAGTGTAAGTCATTGCCCACAAAAGAATGTAAGCTTGGTACTTATTTCAAGATTTCTGAGCCATGTTCTCTTTTAAACTCAGAAATTTTACCCATAAATCATATAAAGACAACAATCTAGAACTGAGGATAAAAGAATAAATATTCACATTACTCCTTGGATCAGTAACTGTGTCATTATATGGCAGTTTTATTTGTCTTTATTTGTTCCAACTCTCCAAAGTCCATGACTGTTCAATATTATGTGTTGAAAAGAATTCAGAAGGTATGAGATTGTGCTATGCCCTGAAAATAGTAAGCAGTTTTCCTGTGATGGTTTGTATCTAGATGTTCCCCTGAAGCCTCCTGTGCTCACAGGTGGGACGTTTGGGAGGTGATTTGATCATGGTGGAGTGATGCTCATCAGTGGATTAGTTCACTGATGAGTTTCTAGCTAAATGTAACCTTAGGAGGAGTCAGATGAGTGGGGGTGTTGGACGGCCTACCTCCCTACCACCTCCCTTGATCTCTGTTTCCTGCCACCATGCCATGGACTGTTTTTCCTCTGCCATGTGCCTGCCATGCTGTCCTTCCTTGGAGCCACCAAACTAGGGGCTGAAATCTTTGCACACTGTGAACCAAAATAAATCTTTCCTCCTTTAAATTGCAGGGGTCAGATATCATGTCTCAGCAACCAGAAAGTAACTAAGATACATCCCACATGCCTCATTCCTTAAAATCCTTGGAACTGTGTTGGAGAATTAGAACTTGTGCCTAGGAATTTGCACACACTGTAGAGATGGGTGTCCCAGAAAGCCTGGAGAATTTCCTGCATGGAAAGTGTCTCAGAAATAGGAGAAACAAAACCTCTCACAGAGATGTTCTGTGACCCTAACCATGCTGCTGCTTAGCTGAGGATAACACATTGTAATGGAAAACTAAAAACAGAAATTCCATTGAACCCAACTTTTTCACTTCTAGGTATCTCCCTAAAACAATTGGTCATCATCTTACAGTGATACTTACATACCCATGTGTATAGCAGCACATTTGTAAGAGTTAAATCTTGAAAGCAGTTTATATGCCCATCAATAGATGAATGGATAAAGAAAATGTGCATTTATATACAATGGAGTACTACTCTGCCATAAAGAAAGATAAACTTGATGCATGGATGGATGTACTTCAAGACCATGATGTTA